AGGTGTCTGCAGTTGCTGCTCCTCCCACAGTCCTTGACCAAACCCCTCTCCTGCCACTACTCCCTGCACGCTGCAATCATGCTCACCACCTTGACCAGAACCAAGGCCGATCTTGTTCCTGTCAAGAGCTGCCCAGCTGCAGTGTTGATGAGGGTAAATGAATGAGATTGGTGACTTTAAAACAAAAAATCACACTCAGCTGTATTGGTTTTAAATAATGCAGCCTCCTCTCTATCGATGTTGCAAAAATCTTTGGAAATATTGTCACCTTGACTGAATCCATCCTGCCTTCCATTATGACCAAATCCTATCCTGAGCAGCTTTACCATACTTAGTTCCAATTCATCAATCTGCTGCATGCTGCTTTCAGCTCTACTGCCTCATCTGCTCCCTATCTCCAACTGTCAAATAAGCCATAGACTATTACAGCACAAAAAGAATTCCTTGAGCCCACACTGATCATCAGGGACCCATCTACTCTGATCCCATTTCCCAGCCCTTGACCCATATCCTTGTGCGCTATGGCATTTCAAGCGTTCATCCGAATGCTTCTTAAGTGTTATAATGATTTCTGTCTCTACCACACTTGCAGGTGCTGAATTCCAGTTAACCACATCATCTGGCTGAAAAGATTTCTCCTTAAATCCATTATAAACATCCTGCCCCTTCCTTTAGGTCTTGGCCCTCTGCAGCCCCCATTCCCCCTCCCGGTAACTGATCTCTCTACTAAAGGGAAACCATTATTTCTATTGACCCCATCTTTGCCCATCTCAATCTGGTCCCCTTTCAGCCTTCTCTGCTCCAAGAAAAATAACCCTGGTGATGTAGTCTCTCTTCATCATTAAAATGCTGCAGGCTGAGCAAAATCCCTGCAAATCTCCTCTGTACCCTTTCTAGTGGAATCACATCCTTCTTATCGTGTGGTATCCAGAACTGCAGATAGTACTCCAGCTTTACAGTTCGTTACAGCCACATCATAACATCCCAGCTGGTATACTCAGTGCCTCAACTAATAAAGGCAAATATCCCGTTTGCATTCTTAACCACGCTATCCACCCGTCCTCTTGCCTTCATGTACATGCACACCAAGATCCTCAGTAGTAGCTAGGCACCTAACATTCAAATGTACTCTCTTGACTTGATCTCCCAAAATGCATCATTTCACACTTTTCAGGATTAAACTCCATCTGCCACTATTCTGCCCAACTGACCAGTCCATCTATATCATCCTATAGCCTAAAGCTTTGCTACTCTCTATTTACCACACTGCCAATTCTGGTGCCATCCTGTTTTAGGGAGAATCATTCAGAAAATATTTTAATATTTATATCTACTCAAGCATTCTTTTTCATGAAAGAGCATTTTCTGATGTTAAGAATCATTTAGGAAAAAGGATTCAAGTGTAAAGGCTGATCAGTGCAAAATATCTATTTGAAAATATCACCACAAAAAATGAATCATAATTAAATTGCATTCTTTGTATGAGAATTCTATTCAAGGATATATTTGTGATTAAATTAAGAGCTGCTTTGTTATGATATGGTATAGTTTCAAAAGATGTTCAATTAGGTACATCATCAGAAACTTGCTACAACAAATTAGGCATACAGTGCAAAGCAAAAATAAAATTATTAACCAACTACTTAGGCTACTAGAGATGAAAGAAAGAGTTAGGGTTAATTCATGCTGCTCAGATTGGTATTGTATGCTATTCCCGATTGCAGTTGAACTATCAAAATCAAAATTTCCTAATAATGAACAAATGCAAATTGGCCTAGCAAATGCTGAAGAGGAGTGCAAATGATTTCAGGAAGTCACGTACAGGTCAGGAGAATGTCAGCAGTGATTAAAACATTCTCTGAAAAAATTCCTTTGCATTGATTTGTGAACACTGATACAGTGCATACTTTACCTTGATCTGCTACGCTGTTACAAGTTTGGTTACATTCCTGCGCACTACTGACGTGAAGAGACTTAAGCACTTCAATTCCATTGTTTTGTAAATTGTACGTTGAGCTCACAGTCAAAGAGGAAATGGATATGTAAAGGAACAGACCAAGAGGAGTCCACATGTTTGAGGAAATTCCGAAAGGAATCTGTGTTTGGCCAGAACTGTAGTATAATAGATTCATGGAAAGGCTGATCCAATTCTGACTAGTTCTTTGCCAAATCTGAAAGAGAAATAAACATATTCAAAATATGGTTACAGAATTGTTTGACATTGATTTGTGATGAGAAGGATGTCGGACTGTGCTGCTGAGTTCAAATCTCAGCATTGCTGAATATTTGATTGTGGTGTTTCCATTGGAACTGTTTTCTAGTTCTCAGCTAAGTCATTTGTAAATAAGGTGCCTCCTAGCACCAACTTACCTTTGTTGTAGATGGGGACACAAAAATCAAATTCACTCAGAAAATGAGATAACAAGGTGTAGAGCTGGATGAACACAGAAATCTGAATTTCTGAAGAAGGGTCTAGGCCCGAAAAGTCAGCTTTCCTGCTCCTCTGATTCTGCTTGGCCTGCTGTGTTCATCCAGCTCTACACCTTGTTATCCCCTTCACTCAGAAAATCACACCTTTTGTCAAGTGGTAAGGAATGACATTGATGGCTGCCATGAAAGATCTGATCCTCAATTACAAGGATCCATATATACATGGGACTATAGTTTGCTATGTCATGGTGTTGCTTTCAAATTACTTTTCTGGAAAATATGCTGCCTTGTTTTGCAGCACAAAGAGGTACAACACAGACAGATGCTGCATTTGTATATTACAGATACCAAGACAACAGGTAAAATTTGGGAGTGGGGATTCCCAATTGGCCACTATAACTTAGGCAGAAGATCCGCAGAAGCCCATTAATCTTTAGTCAGCATGGGCAGCAGTTTTCCTTCTAATGGTTGAAGCTTTTACATTGATTTTAGCTAAGTTGAGTTTTCTTTATTCTTTCATAGGATGGGGATGCTGGTGCCAAGGCTAGCACTTGTTACCGATTTCCAATTCTCTTGAACACAGTAATTTACAATATCATTTAAGAGACCAGTCAAGAATAAACCAGCTTACTATGGGTCTAGATTCACGTAGGCCAGAAAAGGTAAAGATGGTAGATTTTCTTCCGAAAGAACATTAATGAACCGGATGGGTTTTTGTAAGAACTAATTACAGTTTCATGATTGTTATTACTGAGAGTTGCTTTCAATTGTAGATTGATTAATTTAAATTAAAATGCATCAGCTCCATGGCGGGATAAGTTTAAAAGTGTCTACTAAGTCCTTAGGAGAGCAGGAGAGCAATATCAAAGGCTGGTTTATCCACTATTGCTATTCTGTTGTCCTGTGTATGACCTCCTGAAGTCTTCTGCAGTGGCCCTCAGCATTTGCTTACCTCACCCCATATTAATAACATTAGTAAATTATGATGAAGGGACAGTTCAACTCAAAATCAGGAATTAAAATTGACCCAAGCATACACCACCATTTTGAGGAGTGTGCATTAACCCCAACCCTTTCTTTCCTGACTATTAACCTGTATCAGTATTAAAGCCCACCTCCAGTAAGCTTTTTTTCTCTTGGACTTCACCCCTGGATTTGGAATAGATTTGTTACTGTGCAGTGGAAACTGTTTAGCAGCAACATCTGTGTTGTAATGTGAAATGTACTTTGCCAAGTGCAACTAAGTCTGGAAAATGGAAATGAATTTATCTCTTAGAAAAAAAAGCTTTCCGTGGACCAGCTGATCTCTTAGCTGAATCCACTGTGCTCACAATAATTAAAGAAGATAATAGAATTTAAAAAAACCTATAACCACTGGAAAAACTTAACTAAGCAAAACTGGAGGAAATGCACAGCATTTTAATCAACATCTATGGAGCAAAAGAGCAGTTGAATGTCTAGTGGCTGCCTTAACATGCAGGGTCTTTATCCAAAAGTATTCAAGTTAGCAACATGACAAGAATATGCAGAACAGTAGGCAGATAGAAATGATTGCTTTTTAGTATACAATCTCAGCTGCATTAGTTATGACAGCATTATGATGCTTCAACCAGGACAATATTAAACAAGTTTATCTCTACTGTAAATCATTCAAGGAAGAACTTGAAACAACTGCAATACAAAATAAGTTATCAGAGGCAGTCTTATTTCAAACATCATCTCTGGAATCATGGAATATGGGAATTAGAACAGGGAAGCAGAATTGTGCTGGAAGATCAACCATGATTTTATGGAATGGTGGAACTGGTTTGAGGTACTGTGTGGTCTAGTTACAGCAAACTATACTCTCATTGCTGCTCTGGAAATTCTGTCAAATGCTGAGAGTGGAGAGCTTTAATTGAGAATTAGTCAGGAGCTACATTAACTCAACTCTCCCAGTATCCAGAAAATTTCTAAGTTAAAAGGATCATGAAATTGAGCTCTCTACCAACTATGTCAATTGCTGTATGTGATATAGCCAGTGGCTTAACATAATATTTGAGGCTGTGTTTCATGCACATACTAGGTAAAAAATGACTCAAAACTCCAAGATTGAAATTAAACTGGCGTGAGTTTTGACTTTTATGAAATATATTTGCCCAAGTATAATTTGAATTTCTTTGTACATTATATACAATTATTATGAAAGGCAAAATCCCCAAGGGATTGTGCCACAGGGTATACCCATAACCTCACTCAAATTTTACTAATTTTGGCAATGTTGCTGACTTGGGACATGAATGTGGCTTAATGCTTCCCTGTTAAAAAAATAAAGTATATAAAAATTAATCAACAGGTGAGTCACCCCAAGCTCTTTGGCACATATTCTAGCAAGTGGTTATGAAGACAGAATATGCATGAACCTGCCTGATCTAGCAGGGGAATAGTATGCAGCAGAAAGGAAAGGGTCGGCGTTCAAGAACAATGGAGTTTCCGATCAGATTTGTTTTAAGTTTGATACTGTTTTGAGTATTAAGAACTAGCTTGGTCTTTATAAAGAATAGGTAAAGTGGCTGTATGAGTATAAATCAACATTTTTTAACTCTGCACTGGCTACTTATCTGAAACACTTTGTCAGTTTATGACTCAAGAGTGCCCCCGCCTGGAAGACATCAGCTCCCATCACAATCTTTACTAAGGTCAGCCTCCCAGTTCTAGCCACGTCAAATGATTCACTGTTTCTCAAGCATCTGTCCACACAGGAAAGTAATTCTTTATTCTCCCTGTTCCAGGTGCAAATATTCTCCTAAAGCAAGATGATGCAAAGTTCTGGAGAGGTCATGAGTGATTTGTCACACTGCTTGGCTGAGATTCAGTGACTGACCCACAGAAATTATCGAGAAGAACAAAATCACTGTCTTCAGTCTTTACTATAAGCTCTGTTCCCCAACCAGTAACTCTGAAGTTTCCTTCCAACTAGGGTCTGAGGCTAAACTAGACCATTTGCAATCTCAGGATTCTAAATTGTCCAGAATAGCTGATCCGATATCCTCTCAATTACCAATTTGGCATGCTTTGACCTTCATAATGATGGGCCATCTCTGCCTCACTTAAGCTCCATTGCTTCTGAACTATTACATATAAACATCTGAAATAAGTACAGGCCTTTTAGCCCCTCCAGTCAGGTCCGCCATCCAACAAGATTATGGCTGATCTGATTGCGGCCTCACCTCTATGTTCTCACCTACCCCCGATAACCATTTACTCCCAGGTTTGTGAATAATCAGTTGAGTGAATATTCTCTGAGCTAATTCTAATGCATTTATATTTTTTGTAAACAAGGAGACCAAGACTGTACATGGTCCTCCAGATATGGCCTCACCAATGCTTTATACGACCATGGCAAAACATGGTTACTTTTATATTTATCCTGGCTACTGTTACATCTAGACTGATCCCACTGTTCAGCTGCCAGCCTTCCATTCTCCATAAACTTCAGCCCATACAAAACATTGCTTCCCGTATGCTAATTCATATCAAGTCCATCCATCACCGTGTGTTTGTTGCCATTAGCTCAAATTCCTAAATCTCTGGCTTCCTTTTGTCCTTTAAGATGTTCCTTAAAACCTAACCCCTCTAACTGAACTTTTCTTCAGCTGTCCAAATAGCTCCTCTTTTGGCTTAATGTTTGATAATGGGCGGAATCTTCTTAGGATCTGAACAGCATGGGTAATGGTTTGTGGCAGACTTACGTCAGAAGCCCACTGAGGCCTATTTTGACATTGGGAGTGTCTCAGTCTCCATCTTTGATACATGGGCTGGGGAGGGGGCGGTGAGGGCAGTTTTTCACTCGATAGCAGTGAGTTGCCAATCAAGGGGGATTATTGTTCGGTAAACTCCCTATTAAAAGCACAACTTGCCTCATTAATACTCAGTTTCCTATCTTGACAAATTCAGCAAACAAGTGAGCTTCGTCAATATGGATGTCAGAGCAGGTTCCAGGAGACTTCAGCTCACTGCTGACTGTGAGGAGCCTCTGTGTCACTCAGCAGTGAACAGCATCTCAGGGCACAGCCTATAGGCACCAGTTGCATGCAGCCCTCATCCACAGACATTGGCATCCAAGGTTGGTCAACTCCTCAGAATCTTCATGGCACCATGTCAATCCACGTGCAGGACATTTAGGAAGCGCTGTCTTGCATTGCAGGATACACCAGCAACTAGCATTGGAAGGGAGATGCAGAGACAAGCACCCAGCTCATGGATTATACAATTGTGAAGGGGCTCAGTGTAATTTCTAAGGGGGATGGTACGGTATAGCACAGATGGGAATGGTGTAATGTAGGAGTGGGGTTGTCTACAGTCAGGAGTACTCTAGCTTCAAATGGGTGGCATAGTTGTTAATACTGTTACAGGTGAGTATTGATGTGTTGAGGGAAACAGCCAGTGTTACAGAGGCCATGCCAGGTTAGTGGTGTGTGATGTTTGAGGAAGGGGTGGGTAACAGCAAATGAGGAAAGAAGTTACAGACAATTGTGGGAGTGGTTGAACATCAGCCTTGATGGGAGGTGAGTGCAGTAGCAGATATTTTGAGTGAGTGTGAGGAAGCAGAGAGTAGACAGTGGCATTTATCCTGGCAGAGCTCAGAAGGTTGGTGACCTTTTTGCAGCATCAAGAGTCGCTTCTCTGCACCAGCAACCTCTGGTGGATTCGTCTGCTGGAAAGAAGATGCACCGCCAATGTACCAGCCCCTCCACCAGGACCTCCAGTGCAGCTTTGGAATGCCAGTGCTTGTCTGGGTGTACAACAGCCTTGTAAATATGGTATGGGCCGTAGGAATGCTGGTCTCTTAGTGAATTTCTGCTGTCTGCCCAGTTGTTATGGGAAGGGCACATGCTAAAATAGGGACAAAACCAGAAAAGAGGGATGCCACAGGATGGATGGGTGAGGAAGGTGGGCGTGGGGAAGTACATGCTTAATCAGAAAAGTTTGGCCAATCTCACTGGGCTTGCAGTGAGAATTCCTCCAAAAAACTGGACACAACTGCAAGTTGTTGCTGATTATGAAAATAAATTACTGAACAAACTAACATAATAAAATCTCTTAAAACAGCTTTCAGTTCATGCCATTGTGATCATCTGTCATCAGCATGGCCGTTCACTGCTATTAAACTGGGAAGCAGCTGCTAGAGACAGCACAAACATGTCAAGGGATTGTGATGTACTGAAGATGCCATTAGCAGCTTTTCACAAAGAAAATGCTGCTCTATTAATAACATGAGGTGATTAAACTTTATTTTCCAGTTGAAGTATAAAAAAATTCATTACTTCACCACCCCCAACATCCTCAATATGCCTGGTTACTCTACATGTACAGCTTCAGCTGATGATCTACAAGTCCAGGATGTAATCTTTACCAGAATAGACACAGTGCCATGAAGTAAAATCATTGTCAATCAAATTAGTGTTGCCCATTCTGCAGGACATAAACAGCCATTTCTTTGATTCAGTCTACTGAGGCAGGTTGACTGAGGATTATACAACCTGTTAAAAGACACAAGACATCAGGTTTGAGTTTAAAGCAACCTCAAAACTCCAGATCACTGCTTTATAGATCAAACAGTGTAAAACACATACATGCAATTTACGGATCAGAATGGTGGTTAGGGAGTCTTCCGGACTTGTAGACAGTAGTACCGAAGTTCAAACTGGATGTTAATCTTGCAGACATTATCTCATTGCTCTAGAGGCAATATCCTTAGTCTGGATATGATATTTTGAAAGTTATGTTACCGAATTAGTACTATAGAGGAGAATATGGATTCCAATAAGTTTGGGAATTTTAACTTTGGATTAAAAATCTGGAAATAAAAACTTTATTTCAGTAAAAATAACCATGAATCTGTCAGACAGCCATTCACTAATTTGCTTTGAAAATGTATATTTATATACTGTTATGGTCCCAGTTATGAGGAATACTGGACAAGCTGAACATTTATTCTAACTTGGCATGATAAACCATAACGTTTTAAAAAATAGAACATGTGGATGAACCAAGAATAAGAACACTTCAGTCCAAGAGTGAATTTTGAACGCCTAAAATGTTATACAAACTTGAACAAAATAAACTTAAGCAGTAATGTCAATTTATTCAACAGGTAAGGCAGCGGTTTTAAACCCTGCACACTGTATATAGAACTTAGATGGTAACATTCAGATTAATATGCGGTAAATGTCAGGTAACATTAAAAATGTGGTCAAAAATCCCAACAAACTACATTTGAAATGACCAATGTAGTCCAGATAGATCCCACCCACCCACGTGCTGGTGACACTGCAGGTCACCAAATCTCATTAGCAAGCTTGTCTCCCTTGCACGGGATTATAATTCTTCACTTTTAATGATCTAACTTTGGAAGAGCGTCAAAGCCTCTTCAATTCAGATTGTCTCAATGATTGCTTTCGTCTTGTAGTTTTATCTCTCCCAAGATAGCATTCCCCAGAACTTGTGAGAGTTCTCCAGGATATCTAATGTTAAACATAATTTCAGCTTTTATCAAACAGCTAGTTTCACGTAGCTGTGGCTGAATTTGTCTCAGTTCCTTTCTTTCTTAGCTACATCAAGTACATACAGCTTGGGGGCTTCCTCTACTTTGCAGCTTCACTGAAACAAGAACAGCTCACAGGAATAACTTTTAGCTTTAACTGTCTAAACAAAGTATTTCAGTACCCTCTGGAGCTTCCTGTGAGCCCAAACCAGCTGCAGTCTGCTAATAAAAGGTAAAGGTAGCGTCACCATAGTCCTATCAGACGATAGGGCTACTCTCCCCTCAGAGATGACTGGTGGTGGTTTTACTTGAGGGTCACCACATCTCAAGTGAGGGAAGAGATTGAGAAGGATAATCCTTCATGGTAACGACAGTCAATGCAAGAATTTAACCCATTAAGCAGTGCGTTACTCTACATTGCAAACCAGCCATTCACCCAACAACAGAAGCATTTCTGCTGTCTGAAACACTATTTCCTAACTCCTCTCCAGGCAAACAGAGATAAACAGAAACCAGATGATCATCTTAAGCTCCACCCATCTCCATACCATTATAGCCTGCTCTAAAATACCGTTCATCTGACTTTTAGATTAAGTATTCCTCATTTACAATTTATTTCTTGATCTGGTGAAGTAGTGAGCTTTACAGCTTTTCAAAGTTAATTGAAAGCTTTAACTAATTTAGCTTTAACTCTCAAAACAAAAATTTCTCTGGGCTATGCTGTGTATGGTGACTTAGATATTCTACGCTGTATTTACGAACAGCATAGGCATCACGTTTCCAGCTCAGCAAGCCCATTGCCGTTTCTGATCTTACCTTTCTATACTGTCTTTCTAGTCATTATAAAGTTGAAATCATTTGCTTTAAGAGGTCAAGTGTAACGGGCCTCCTTGTGGTCCAACTCCATTTATTCCATTTTCTACAAATATACTTTAATTACTAAAACTAAAAATTAATTCTAACTAGATATTCACAACAGCATCTTTCTAAACCACTGGGTGTCTCGGTGTATGTTACGGACGACGAAGTTTTGAAGTATTGGTACTGTTGCAAACAGCAGGAGATTTTTGAATAGCAACTTCTCATAAACAGCAATGTGATAATAACCAGACAATCGATTTTGGTGATGTTAATTGCAGGATAAACATTAGCCACATCAAATGGGCTAATTCCCTTCAAAAGAGTGTCATAGGATCTATTACGTGTACCTGGAAGAGAAGGCAGAGGAGGTACCTTAGTTCAAAATCTCACCTGATGGCAGGTCCAACAGTATAGCAGTCCCTCAGTACGGCAGCCTTAATCTTTGCATTTACATCTTGGTGTGAAACTTGAATGAACAAACTTCTAACTCAGAGATGACAGTGCTAACAATTAAGTCATGGCTGACACAACTAGCAAGCAACTAACAGCTCCCAGTGCCTCTGGGAGAAGTGATCTTGCAGTAGTCCTAGAAGAGGCATCATTCCTGGAACCTCAGAACAGAGTGAAGTTGGTCAGTCTTGTCAGTGAGTTAGACAGGCCTTGATGTGAGATAGGATATGACCATCACTTTCCATCAGTGGTTGAAGACAGGTGATGGTGGACTGAGACCGTCAAATAGTACCTTAAAGGTTTTAAGTGTCCGCTGACATGAAGTTTGTCTTTGGCCCTTCCCAGCTGGCACTTAAGGGGGTGTTGGGGGATAGAGTTTGGGTCAGGACAGTGATGGGCTCTTCACCTCAAACTTTTCTACCCTAAAGGTCCCATCCACCTCCCAATCCACTGCTGCCCCGTGTGTTTGACTCAGAATTCTCCTGTGCTCTATTAAGCTATTCGGTGCTTCAAGAACTCAGCCCTATACCAAATCGGGAAAGGATAATATATGTCATTATGCCTACATCCAAATAATGACTATTTTTTTAAATGAATGAATTTCTAATTGACAATCTATGACTTGTCAACTTACAATCCAATAGTTTTGGGATACCTGAGAATGTCAACCATGCTTGTGTTCAGATACATTCAGAAAGAACAACCAAAAGAATTATAGAAAATTATTCAAATTTTAACATTTGTACATGGGATGTGCAATGTGTATGACTCTATGTGGACATCGTTGGCTGGGCCAGGATTTATTGCTCATCCCCAATTGCCCTAGAGAAGGCGGTGGTGAGCTACCTTCATGAACCACTGAAGTCCTTGTGGTATATGGACCCCCAGAGTACTGTTAGGAAGGGAGAGCCAGGATATTGATTCAGATTAAGTGAAGGTACGGTGATGTTGTTTCAAGTCAGAATGGTACATGGTTTGGAGGGGAATTTGCAGGTTGTGGTGGTGGTCCATGCATCTGTTGCCCTTATGCTTCTAGCTGTATAGCTCACAGGTTTGGAAGATGCTGTCAAAGGAGCCAAATGAGTGACTGCTGTTACTTCAGTATCTGAGGAATCTTGAATGGTGCTGAACATTGTGAAATCATCAGCAAACATCCCACTTCTCAACTTATTTTGGAGAGAAGGTGATTAATGAAGCAGCTAAAGATGGTCAACCCTCGGACATTATCCTGAGGAACTCCCACAATAATGTCCCTGGACTGAGATGATTGACCTCCAACAACCACACCCACCTTCTTCTGTGCCAGGTGAGTCTTCCGTACTATTGACTGAGCTTTTACAGGACCCATAGCTTATGCAGAATCCAGTGTCTTGAGCCATTTCTTGATCATAAGAGGCAGAGATGGCTTGTCTGCTGGGCACTTGCATGAGATGCTTCACAGAAAGAGACAGAGAGTGAGAGAGAAATTAATAATGTGCAATGGAAAATGAAAAGTAGCTGCCACCAGAGCAGGAATGAGTGGAATATTTTTATTTGTCTCTGGGCCTGACCTCGACTTGTGAATGATAGGGGCCCATCAAGGCTCTCAGCTGCACGAGGAGCCAGAGCTGTCTTTCTCACACACTAAACTGTAAGTACTTCATGACATGCTCTCACATGCAATGCTGCCTATCTTAGGGAGTGTGTGGGAGGAGAAGTTGTCATTGTTTCTATTACACTTACAATTCATGCTGTATCCGTGCTACATGCTTTTGCAGCATACATCTGAACCAAGTTTATTTTACAAAAGGCCTTTCTAGACACATCCCCCCATTGCCCATCTTGTTGGAGGCCTCCATGTTCTGATATTTGGAGACTGATGGTTAACTGTCAGCTATGTGAGTTGTGATTGCTGAGTGATCACTCTATTGAGGAACTGTTTTGTCTTTGATATTCCGCACATGGACTCATTGTAATAGATCCAGGCAGGGAAGCTGTTGTTGTCTCTGTGGTCGCTGCATCATGAGTTCCCACCATGAGCAATAAGGAACACATGCAGCTGGAAAACCCCGGACCAACAGCTACTCCCAGCCAATGGGGAGCAGCCTTCATATGCAGATTTTCCAGCAAGAAGTCTTCACAATGAGCACAAAGTGCAGGAGGCCCTTAGTCAATAGTCCCTCTAGATTTTCCTTTTGCTGTGTGGACATTCAAGGTTAGGTGACAACAGCTTCTGAAAATGGAAGTCAACATATGAGCAAGCTGGTTAATGTGAGTTGAACCTCAGACTGCAGCTTAGAGGGAACACTGCCCATAGTGTTTACTCTTTGATAGATCCCGTTGGAGTGAGGTGCAGTGACTCAGTTGTATGAGGATGTCCCAGACACTAGTCATGCATTCCAGATGCTACAGGAGGCTAGAAATTGTGAACAGGTCATGGTGAGAGCACCACGTCATGGTGAGAGCACCACATCATGAAGCCAAGCACAAATGCAAAGTAACAATCTCCTTCACCTTGGCCATCATAAGATGAGGTTCCCATGCTTTTACAGCTCTGGGGTACAGTACATACAAAGTGTGTTGCATAAGTATTTCATGCTGTGCTCTGGAAAACTGGCATCAAGGGTAGCGACTGATAGACAATGAGGATCTGGGAGAGCCACAGCATTCCACCAATTAAGAAACTGAGGACATTGATCAGCAGGTTCATCACCTTCAGTATCCTATAGCACACTAACATTGGCCACAACAACTTCTACAGGATTTATTTGGCAACCACTATCAAATGAACTGAGTTGGATGAACTCATTGTTTTTTGACTGATGTGTTGACGCAAGCATCCCTTGTGTTATCCTGACGGCAGCTTATTGGTTTGATCTTTTCTCATTTTTCCTGTTACTGAATAGAAGTTAATATTACAGGCTGGAATTCTTCACAACATCTAACACTCCTCCGACGAAAGTGGATGGCCCACTACTCCACCACTGCGTCCACCAGGACCTCCAGGTCCCAATCAGCGATCCTCAATTAGGGGGGGCAGGGGAGCACAACCTGTCTCTAATTAACGCTCTCTGGATCACGTCGTAACACACTGAAACCATCAAGTCAGATTGCTGGCTTGTAGTCTTACAAGTTGGCTTTAAATACAGCACTGACACAGCAGGATGCCAGAGATATTTTCTCCACACTGAAGAGCATTGGTGTGCTCAAGATAGTGCCCGAGTGGTACCGTGGAGGCATGGAACATACTTCGTGAGAGGAGCAGCATAAAATTATGTGAGAAAACCTGCTGAAACTCATAGAAACTCCCATGAAACTCTTCCATGAAAGTCCCCAAAATTGACACTTGGCCAAATTTTGGGAATTTTCAGTCTATGTGCTTCAGCAGAGCTTTTTAAGTCTAGATTTTATTGAATTAAAATTCTATTGACTATCCTGATGGAATTCAACCCCATGTGTATCAGAATATTAGCCTGGCTGGAATACTAGTCTAGTAACATAACTATGCCACAACATCACTAAAACCAGAAGGAGATCAAAAGCCAAAGCATACGGCATCAATTCAGATTTTAATCACCTGGTATCTAATCTTGGCACCATATTTATTTGCATAGTTCAATACTGCCCTTCCCAGCTTTGTCGGCTATATTGATATAGTAATAAATCTATGCTATGTATTTGCACACAACAAACATCCTTGTAGTCATAGTAATAGTACAGAAGAGTGCAAACAATAATCTTTTGTGATGTGAATGTAGCCTCTATAGTGCATACCCTAGAGAATAAGAGCAGCAGCAATGTAACTTGATTCTAAATCCTAAGAACCAGAAAACAAAATTTTCAAGATCACAGTGAGAATCAGAAAACGAAATTATAAAGAAGATCACAGTGAGAATATATTGCATTTATATTCAGTTAGAAGAAGATTGTTCATTTAGCATGCTGACTTTTAGAATTCTAGTGATTGGAACCAGGTGGACTTTGTCGACCGAGACCCTTAATTGATCCAGGTTAGCAACCCCACTCAGGAAGCCCTGGCCGAACACCATTAACAGGAGATTTAGAATCTCCTCAGGGGATTCAAGGGACTGAGTCCGAGCTGGCTAGCCATTGCCAGTGTACTGTGCACGAGTAAATAAAGGGGGACTTGGTGACAGGACACCAGCCTCTGTGCAGTTATTTCAGCAGTGACGGGAGAAAACACTATGTGCCTTTAGAACATTCACTCACAACAGTCATTTTGGAGTTGGGGTAAGCATTCCCGGCATCATGCCTTTATTTGGGAAGCTTGACTCACTTGAGCCTGCCATCGAAGACTGGGCCCAGTATGTGGAAAGGATGCAATTGTTTTCTGGCCAAATGACATTGGGGCAGATGAAAAGCAATGAGTAATCCTTCTGACTGCTTGCAGACTTGCAGCATTTTTGGTTATAAGGGTTTAACATTCCCACAGACACCAGACACTAAAACCTTCCAAGAGTTGATGGAGTTGGTTAAGGAATATTGCTACCCTCAACTTCCTCTAATCTTGAGATGCTATTGGTGTTATTCAGCTGTTAGAGAACCGGGGGAATCTGTATTGGGATTTTTGACAAGGTTAAGATGACTGGCACAGGCATGTGATTTTGGGTTAAACCTGAATGAGATGCTGAGAGACCATTTGGTATGTGGGATTAATGATGTAACCCATGCAGAAGCACCTACTAGCTGAAGCCCAACTGGGCTTCAAAACTGGCACCACAACTGGCTTTTTCATTAGAAAATGCTGCAAGTGGAGAATGGGAACCACAGGGTATCCCAATGGAAGTGGACACCCTCACTTGTCTAACTGAGCTTGGGGAACTCTACGAGTGTAGGCCCTCTCAGAGCCTCACGCAGGGCATGTCCTGAGGAGAGGGATTCGAGGGAAGCCCACAGCTGAACCACATAACAAAAACGAGCCTCGGCCAAGAGGCTAAAAAGTTCTTCAGGACCTGGGCCTGCAAGCCATTGCAGTTGCTGCTGGTATGCAGACTCGAGACAGCAAAGGAGTCCTACAAGGCCTGATGTGTGTAAGAAAACTTGTAGGATGATACCCAGGAGAATACACACCCTAGAAAGTCCTCCTGCATGTGGGTTGGAACAATTAAATTGCTTAGTGACATCCAAATCGGAACTGATTAAAATTAACGTTTAGTTAAATGGTCACCATCAATGCAGCTGTATCTATGGTTACAGAGCCTGTTATTAACAAGATTCGCTCAGGTCTCTAAACCTAAAGTTTGCGGAAGACCTCAGCCAGACTGAGAATATACACTGGGGAACCATTGCAAATGAAGGGTAAGACTTTGGTTCCGGCCTCCTATGAGAAGCAGTTGGTGTAGTTACCACTGATGGTACTAAGAGGCTTGGGCCAAAGCCTATTGGGATGGAATTGGTTGAGAACGATTCACCTAGATTGGCTCAACATTCTTCAATTAGAAAATAGCTGCCTCAGTGAAGTCCTAATGTATCCATAAGTTTTCAAGACAGGCTGGGGACAATCAAAGGGGCAAAGCCACGTTACATGTTGACCAGGACGCAATTCCGAGATTTTGTAAGGCCTGCCTGCTGCCAATTGCCTTGCAGGCAAAAGCAGAGGTGGAAATCAGGAGGCTGGAGAGCGAAGGAATCATCAAACCAGTACAGTTTGCAAAATGGGCAGCACTGGCCATAACAACTGTGAATCCTGATGTCACAGTTCGCCTTGGTGGGGATTTTAAGCGAATGATAAATCGCTTCTCGCAGCTGAATCCTGATTCCTCGCATAGAGGACTTGTACACAGATTAGCTGGGGGAGGGGGGGGGGTGTCCTTTAAGAAGCTGGACATTAGCCACGCCTACCTGCATTTACGACTGGATAAGAAGTCGCAGAAGTACACCATTGGTATAAACCCATATGAGTTTATACCAATGTACAAGTCTGCCATTTTGGTATCAACAGCCTGCAACCTTTTCCAGCGGACAATGGAGGACATTTTACAACAGCTACCCCAGGTTGCCACTTATCTGGATGATGTATTAATAACACGGAAGATCAATAAAGTGCACTTGGAGAACTTGAACATAGTGCTCAAAAGTTTCTCCCAGGTGGGTATATGCCTTAGAAGGGAAAAATGTGTGTTCCAGACGCTCCAGTGACCTACTTGGGTTACAGAATCGACAAAACCAGGCTACACCTGTTGGAAGATAACGTAAGGGCAATCAAAGGAGCCCTGGCTCCCACATCTGTACCAGAGGCTAGGTCTTTCCTTGGGTCAGTAAATTACGGAAAATTCATACATGCTTCCATTTTGGCACCCTTATGCCTGCTATTGAAAAAGGGTCAGCCTTGTAAATGGTAGCATAGCCAATAAGCAGCCTCGAGGGAAGTGAAAAAGAAGCTATCGTCATCTAAGGTGTTGGCCCACTACAATCCGAGGTGAGAGATACTGCCTGACATGCGATGTCTCCCCGTACGGTATCTGGATAGTGTTGGCTCACCGCCAGCTCAACGGAGAGGAACATCAAATAGTGTATACTTCCCAGACTTTAGCTGGTGCTGAATGCAAAAAGGTCCAGGTAGAGAAGGAAGGTTTGGCGGTCATCTTTGGTGTGAGGAAGTTCCACCTGTACCTTTTTATGGACAGGAATTTGTCATAGTAATAGATCACAAACCCCTGCTAGAGCTACTGAAGGAAGACAAGGCAGTACTGCCCATAGCTTCCGGTAGAATTCAGCATTGGGCCCTTATTCTCAGAGTGTAAAAGTACAAGTTAGAATACTGTCCAGGAAGTCAAGTGGCTAATGTGGACGCACTGAGCCACCTCCCACTGGCAGATACTCCACTGTTGGTGCCTCCCCTATTAGAGTCCGTTCTGGTTTTAAACTTCCTGGACACTTGCTGGACCTTCTGGTCACTGCTGACAATATCCAATGTAGACACAAAAAGATGTTGTCCTAGCAAAACTCAAACAGCTAGTAGTAATGGGGAGAGACAGAAGGGCCATCGCAACCAGGACTAAAACCTTTCTGGATCTGGTGAGACCAGATCACCGTAAAGGACAACATATTACGTTGGGGAGCAAGAGTGATTGTCCTGAGTAAAGGCTACTGGCCAAACTCCACCAGGGTCATCCAGGGGCTTCCAATTTGAAGATGCTAGCAAGAAGGTATGTTTGGTGGCCAGGGCTGGATGCTGACATAGCTGTGTTGGTGGGGCAGTACCCAGAGTGCCAACAAGGACAAGACTTGGCACCAGTGGCAGCCCTACATTCATGGGAATGGCCAGGTAAACCCTGTCAACTGTGTCAGTCCTTCACGGTCTCAACATTCCAGATTGAATGAGCATCCAGAATAAAGTGGTTGGATGTGCATAAAGTCCGTTCGGCAAACTCAATGAGAACAATTGAGAAGCTGTGAGCATCGTTACTGATAAACAAACTCCTGGAAGTATTGGTAATGGGCAATGGGATGTAATTTACCAGGAGGGAATTTCAGTATTTCTGAAGTTGAATGGCATTCGGCACGTAACGACAGCGCCATACTATCCATCGCCCAGTGGTCTGGCGGAAAGAGCAGCTGAAAAGTTGAAGGCAGGTTTAAAGAAGCAGCCTACAGTGTCACTTGATACCAAACTGTCCTGGTTCCTGTTTGATTACAGGACTACCCTTCACTCAACAACAGGGATAGCTCCAGCAGAGCTGCTGATGCAGAGAAAACTCTGCACCAGGTTAAACCTGATATTCCTGGACCTCGGGAAAGTGGGTTGAAATGTTGCCTGGTATGGGGGATTTTGGCTGAGGAAAGGTTGGATAGACTGGATTTGCTCTTACTGGAATGCAGGAGGCAACCTGGTAAAAGTTTATAAGATTGCGAATGACAATGGATAGAGTGGAAAGTATGAGGCTTTTTCCTAGGGTGGAGGGGTCATTTACTAGGGCACACAGGTTCAAGATTCAGTGCTTGGGGGGAGGGGGAGAAAGAGTGTAAAAAAGATGCACGAGGCATGTTTTTGCACAAAGGAGGTTGACTACCTGGAGCGCTCTGCCAGAGGTGGTGGTGGAAGCAGACACAACAGCAGCATTCAAGAGAGACCTGAATGAATACATGAATAGTAAGGGAATAGAGGGATACGGATCCTGTAAGAGAAGACAGTTTCAGCGCAAGTGTGGAGGGCCGAAGGGTCTGTTCCTGCGCTGTATTGTTCTTTAGCATCCTTGATTGGCCTGGGTTAACAACCCCAATCAGGAAAGCCCTGGCCGACCAATATAAACACGGGATTCCTTGCCAAGCTAGTCCCGGCAGCAGGCTGTGGAGGAGGTCATTACGGCCGACTACCTGCCCCTTTACCGAGGCTATGTTTGTGTCCGGGTATCCCTGGAGAAGGAGCATGCAGTGTCCACCAACACTCAAAATCTTTCGGGAGAGGTGGGCACAGTGGGGTATGGAGTGCTTTATATCCCCCTCCAATTCTATTTTAACTTGATCCCTTCACTTTTCGTTCACATAGGCATTGCCCCCAGGGGCTCTGCTTGCTCCTGGTTCTTCGGTCACATGAATGATTTTCCTGGTGGTAAACTATCAATAAAGTTATTTACACACCTGGTGTTTTTACTGTGTCTCACACTTACACACATGGGTTAAAACAAAATATAGACAGGGAATTCAGAATCTCCTCAGTTCAGGCGACTGACTCTGAGCGGGCTGGCCACAGTCAGTGTTCTGTGCAAAAGTAAATAAATGGTGACTGGGGATTGGATACTGGCCTCTGTGCAGTTATTTCAAGTATAAAATCGAATTGCATTAAAAATTAGTGCTGTATTTGGTTCTAAACAATTATGTAGTTTAATTGAAATGTATAACAAATTACTAAGATAATCTGTTAATTACTTGATTTTTCGATTTGCTTTCTCTACCATTTGAATAGACTCAAACTTGATAGTAAAAGCAAAGCATTGCCAGATGCTGGTAATCTGAAATAAGAACAGAAAAAGCTGGAAATACTCAGCCGATAATACAGCATCAGTGGAGAGAAAACCAGATTGATGCTATTCATAAAAACTTGAAAGATTCACTTGTGCTGGCTTGGATTTCAATACCTATACACATTTTTCCCCTGATACAGCTCAGCTCACATCTTCAACTGACTAATGCACAACAGGTCAACGATCTGTTCTCCGTAGTGAAGAAATGTTTGTTACTTTACTGTCATTAAAATCTCCAAGGAAATTAGAGCTACACTGTAGAAAATAGTTCAGTTTCAAACATAAATTTAAGAATTACATGGTCACCAAACAGAATACTCTTCATTTGAAGTCTTGGCAATCTATTAGTATAATTCCTTTTAGCTCATAAAAAGGCTTTGTAGTTTGCAGAGTAACAGGATGTGAAGAAGCAACAATCTTGCCGTTACCAAAGTAGCAGAATACAGATTCATTCTCAGAAACTGTTTGGCATCTGCTGCATGGTAGACCCCATGATGACTGCAGCAATTTCTTTAGCAACTGAAGGGAGAAAAAAAACACAGGAGTTTAGTTTTGGGAGTACCTAATGCACCCAGCTACCAAATAAACAGGGATGTAAATGTAGGAACAGACTAAAATATCACTTGTTCATTTTGTAGCAAAATTACAAGTTAATTTAAGACAACAAGAGATCCAGGTAGAATACCCATCTTGAAAATTATTTTCTTTCAAATATTGCTAATTTCAGTCATTGCACAGGCTAGGTGAGGTTTAAACTAGCCTCAGTAGCACCCTGGTGTGTGGTTGGGGTTGGCGTTATGGGAGTGGAAGCCAATAAAGAAGAGAGACAATTTATCACATACCTACTTTAAGTTTCCTTATGTAGACATTGGCTTAGACAGGATTAGGTTCAATTGGATTGCCTTACCCAGATGATTGCATTTGCTTCAGGTACCTAGCAAGCTGGCAAGGAGAGGAAATGAGAAAGAGCGACAGGTTATATTGGTGAAGGGGATTATGCAGGTTTGGTTTCAAAATTGTGGTTACTTTTTCAAAAACAAAAAACTTAATTAAGGAAAATTTATTAATTTTTCATCAGACATGTATGGATTAGGGAGGTATTGACAGTTTTGTAGGGATAGGAGCATTTTATCACAAAGTATATTGTATTAGTTTAGTGCAAAGGTACGTTTTGCACAGTAGACTTAATCTTTAAGATTATGTTCCAATTGTTGTAGGTATGTACATCCTAAAGTAAAATACTGCAGACTGTAAAGTCAATTAACAGAGATCTGAAATAATGAAAGGCTTGACTAGGTACTAAATGTTCTTAGGTGCAGCTCCTCTATTTATCTTGCCAAAGTACACATTTCACCATGTTATATTCCAGCTGCCAAATTTTTTTGCCCAAACAGTAGGGGAGCATTTAGAGAACAGTGATCATAGCATCAGAAAATTTAACTCAGATTAAGAAAAGCATTGAAACCCAGTACTGATCCTGGGAACCTCACTGTATACCTTCCTCCAATATAGTAATACCATTAATTACCATGTACCTGTCACTCAGTCAACTTCTTATCCATGCGACCAATGTTCCTTTATTCCATGTGCTTCAACATTGCTGACAAGCCTGCTATACAGCACTTTATCAAATTGATGTATACCACAACTACAATTATCTTAAACATCTCTCAAATCAAACTTGCTTCAGTACTTTTAAACATGATGTACTTTTAACAAAATACACTGGTTTACCCTGATTCATCATATTTTTCCAAGTGATGTTACTTTCGTCCTGAATTATTGATTCTAAAACCTTTCCCACCACCAAGGTGAAAGCGACTGGCATGTGGCTGTGAGGTTTATCCTCTAAATGGAAGTGTAATTATTGAAAATTTAGCTGCTGTTGCATAGCAATTAAGCAAGTGCTAATCAATTATTTAATTTGTTTCACAAATCAACATTCTTACCTGGATTTATTTTTCTATTTCTCAATTTTTACAGTTTTGACATTTCTTACAGTAAGTTATAAAAGGAGCAACATGTTGGCCAATCACATGAATACCAACCCTTAGCTCTCAAACTGGAATATGGAGAAACTAGCAATACAAAGATTGGAACACACATTGGGTGGAACCTAACAGGAGTCTGAGCAGTGTGAGCAACGGTGAAGTTGGTGGCTGAATTGAACAATAACCCGACAAAGGTCCACGTTGATGTTGGCAGAACCTACTCCATCTTTTATGCTAGTTTCTTGCTAGGTAGTGGCGAGTTGTCAATTGAGGGGGTTTATAGAATTTTGGTGGCACAGTTTGTCTCATTAATATTTAGCTTCCTGTCTTACCAAACTCACCAAGAAGCTGGATGTTACCATGAAACCTGGTGGATTCAGTTTGCCACTTGCTCCAATTGCCTATAACCAAACTGCAACCCTGGGCACGATTCATGAGCGCCAGTCACATGACCCATTGTCCACATACACTGGTATCCAGTATCTGCAAACCCCTCACAATCATCATCACACGGCTCTAATCCACCAGCAGTATGCTCAGGAATCACAAACTTGCACTGCAGGATGCACTGGCAACTAGTATTGAAAGGTTCAGCAGAGACACTCAGTACAAGGTCAGGCACCCAACTCTCAAACTGGACCAAGCTGCGTGTCAGGACTGCTCACTTTTCTCGCTTAATGCCAATTTGCATGCTTAAAGCATCCATGCCGTGCCTTTCTATGAAAATTACATGACCAGACAGCATGGCTTGTTGATCACAAGTTCTCAGTCAAAGGGGTGTACGGCAGTGTGCCAAGTGAATCTTACACCTGCACCATGTGCCAACAGCAGCTTACACACCAAAACATACAACATTGCAGTATGCAGCTATATCTCAAAATTCTGGAGGAGTAGTCTTCACCAAAATCCATGGAGGTATCAGTCAGGGGGCACAGCCCATTAAGTCAAGGGCAGTCTTAGATATCAGTCCAGGTGATTGACCTAACACCTGATTGTAGCCAGAGGGATTCCAGTCAGAGAATCTGTGCCTCTATAGTCCAGCAAGTGGGCCATCACCAATCTCGTGACTCCATAGCAGCCAGTTCAAGGAGACCAGGGATAATGTGGATGGGTAAAAAAACGTACAGCCACCAGTCAGGGGTCTGGGCACCTCTTCTCTGGGTCTGCTTGCTCAGGTTACTCAACTGTGTGGATCATGGTGGGTCAGTCAGTCAGTCAGTCAGTCAGTCAGTCTGTTGGGTCTGTTCACAGAAACAAAGCAGAAAGAGTGTGAGGGTGTCAGGTGGTGGGACGGTGGGAAAGACAAAGCCGGTCATTGCCACTGGAATGAGTGTCAGCAAGTAAGTCTTTGGGATTGGGGCAGGAATGAAGGATTACCATTGTGAAGCTGGGACAACAGTATTTGCAAGGGGCGGATACAGTAAAGCATGCCTGGGAAGGGAATCATGTAGGGGGATTATTCATGGTCTTTCGACTGGAGCACCCTGTCTTCAAGTAGGGGAGGCAGTGTATGCCATTATCTGACATGGTCACCTCAGATGCTGGAGGCAAGCTGAGGAAGGTGGGCAGGTACAGGGACCTGGGGAGATGTGAAGCCTGCAGGGTTTAAGGGATGGGTTACCAGGAAGGGGATGTGGATGTATGGGGCTCACTGACATGTTCAGATGCAGCTGGGAGCTGCTGGCTAAGGAGCACTCACTATTACCTTCCATTGTGCTGCAAATCAAAGTGTACCATGGCGGGAAATGACTGCAACTACACGCAGAGTGAGTGCTGTGACTCGAACTGTGAGGAAGGGGGCTGCAGTACCCAACAAAAGGCCTTTTAAAGGAAAAGAACATTGCACACAAGTTCACGCACTGTATATGAAACAGACCTGTGGAGTCCCTATTCCCTTGTCATGCTGAAGCATTGTCCCCACATGTGTTCCACCTCCCTGCCACAGATACCGACGGTCAGCCACCCGTTTGGACACCAGAGGCCACAAAATTGTTGGGACTTTGCATGAGAAGGGCCTAAGATGTCAACATGAATATTTATACTTATTGTTCCTTATGCTTCCACGTGATGCAGTGATCAACACAGACCTCCATTCATGGAATGTTGTCTGTGGTCATGAAGTGATAACACGTGGTGCAACAAAGCCTTTCAGGCCTACACAGAGACACGAACAACCAGATGTATAGTTAAAGCCCATAAAGGTATTCAAAGATTCCCAATTACAAGCCATTGTCACCCATGCTTCCAAAGTGGTCTCAACGAGCTCCTCTTCCTCCCACTATGCCTTAGTATAGTCCTTGATTCTGCAGTTGGGGTGAACGGAGGCAGCTGAGTGCTTGACTGGTTTGGCCCTGGAGGATTGGTCAACCTCTTGTAAGTTGATCCGGCCCCCCAACCTTGGCTTGATCTTCCAAGTGTCATAGGTGGAGGTAGAGGGTCTGGCTACCTCTGCAGTGTCCTGAATGGAGATGTCTGAAGGGCCATTGTGTGATTCCTTCTCCAGCTGGGTGCCTCTGAGCACTGTCCCGTCTCTGTGTGAGGAAGGTCTATCTACCCTTTGAACTACCCTGTCCACCAGGACCTCCAGATTCCTAATCGGAGAATCACAGGGGCAACTTCTCCTTCTCCACCATGTTCAGATACTGTCCATCAATGAGCAGGGCAGCTTCAGCATGCCTTTTAAAGATGGCAGATGTGAATATCCGCTGAGAGGGGAGTTGTTCATGGTAAAATGGGGCAGCAATCAGACATGATAGCCACCACAAGGGTGGGTAGTTAATTAGTGAGGTGAGTTCTCGAAGTCATGGCCAGAGATCTCATTAGACCTTGTGGTAAGAAACCATCCAAACACCTTGTTGTTCCTCAGACTTAGCCAAAACATGTATGATTCAGCCCATTGTGGCTGATGTTTTTGCAAAGCAGTTTCCCCATCACACGTAGGTTCTCAAAAGGAGATTTGTTTTTACATTAGTTGGTGACTAGTTTTGGAGCAAATGGTCCAAGTAGGTCTCATCAATTTTCCACTAGATTATGGTTTTGGTTAATGAGTAATGGTCAACTTGGTACTTCAACTTACATATACAAAGAACAGAATTCTCGTCAACAGTGCTATTGGAGAAAGCCCGTGAAACAAGGAAATCAATATTCAAAACTGCAGCACCAGTAGTCTGTGCAGACCTTTTGGATCAATGAATGCAAAATAGTAAATTGATCTCACATCCTAAAGACAGACCTATGACATGCAGTGAGCAATTCTTTTGGTACCACTGTAGGTGTTAACTGATCGAAGGTGGTCAGTTCATCTCCAGGATTTTGAAATTGAGTATGCCAGCCTCACACCCTGTTTGTCTGTATAGCATTGTACAAGAGTTCAGGAAAAGAAAATAAAAACAGGTTGTGTGTTTTCCTGGCAGTCTATCAAAACGGTAGTGCGGAACATCACTGATAGTAATTAGTCCCGTACAAATGGTAATTAATCCAAAACAAGATAAATGCATTTTAAGCATTTCAAAATATACTCACAGATTCACAGATCTACTTTGGACTGCTGTAGGAACTTTTCATCTGCCTTTAAACAAACAAAGAGAAAAAAAGAGTCAGTTGATTTCACAACCAGAAGTGTTCACAAATACTGCGTTGCTCATCAATCCTGGTGACATTGGAAGGGGTCACAGAATTGCAGGTTAGTGATGCAGTACTAAAAAATGCTGCTTACCCAGAGATAGCATATTGTCTAACCAGTTTCCAAACATAGGAATAAATTGCTTTTATTTTCTGTTAAGCTAGATTTTGTACATTTTTAAAAGCCTACATGTCTAATATTTAATGGTTATAAATGAAATTATTATATGACAACAAATCCTATTTGTAACTACTTATTAAAAAGCAGTAGAGTCTGCTAAATTATTTTGTTTTATTTGTTCTTGGGGTGCGAGGATTGTTGGCATAAATGCTGATCTTGCTAATCGTGGACATCATTGTATGCCATCTTCGCAACAGTTTCAGTTCATCGGGCATACATGACACACAGTGCTATTAGAAAGGGAATTCCAGGATTTTGATCCATAAGTGTGACTTTTCTAAACAGAAATTGCCAGAGAGGCTCATTAAGTCAGTAGTTGCCTCCAAGCCAATTGAGGCCTTAGGAAGGATATTAAGTACAAAAAAGGTCATACCAATGACACATCAGTTGAGATGGACAGGAGTATGAAAGCATGGTTCCAGGTTAACAACAATTCTATGCATTAGATGCAGCCATCTCCATCGCTACTGTCAATAAAGCACACCAAACAAATATCTCTGTAACAGATGTGTCACATCACTCTAAAACTGTCCAGCTTTATTTCATATCTGCAGATCATGTGTACATCAAGGAGGATTGGACATGCATGTGCAAGAAATCAGGTTTCAAAGATCATGCTTGGCCCTGGAACAAAACGCAGGGGGCCAGCAAGATGATACAATATCACAACACCACAACTTTAGTAAGTATTAAGGTGCACAAATGCAAACACATCATTGTAATTCAGAGTGAACCAAGCAAATGGTAACTTTTAGAAGATGACCAAATGCTTTAAATTATCAACATCACATACCGTGTTGATGGTTTAAGGCAATCAAAAGCTTTTGTAACAATTAACATCATATGTCCTGAAAACACAGGAAAATTGATCCAGGAACTAGTGCCAACATATTACTACTACACATCCTGAAAGACATGTACCTTAGCAAAAGGCATTCCATTGCACAGCCTACAAAACACCACCTTACAGCGTACAATGGATCACCGATTCCATGCATTGGCATAATCACACTGCAGTATCAACACAAACTCACCTTGACTTCCAAATTCAATTTGGTCTTCAACAGCAGAGTATATTAAAAGACAATTCTCTGCTACCAAACTGGAGATGAATCCTTATTGGGAAAGTTGTGATCAATTACATTGTCAACTTGACTCAGGTAGGTTAAGTATTCTGCCTCTCTCCAGGTTGTGGTGACAGCCACAGTATCAATTATTTACATTGCTGCACACATATCTGGAAACATCTTGACAGGCTTGATGTTCTCTGCACTTACAAACCTTAACATTGTTGAGTTTGTGATATCAGTCATATCAGCAGTATTGAAAAATGATGCAGAAGATAGGAATATTACCCCTGTTCCAAAACGCATAAACAGAAGGAACACTTAATTTGGGTTACTCTCACATGTCCTAAACTGGAGCTGAAATGGGAAAACTCAGGGCATATCTCCTAATTACCCTCTTGGCTGCAAGCAGTGAACACTCCAGGGAATGGTAAGAAAAAATGGAATCAATTTAGAAATGGGAATTCATTTCAGAATAGAATGATGACATGTAGTTCAAAATATTTCATTGTTAAGAACAGCATGTGTTAATATTTTGATCTGGCTACTTTTATTCTAAAAATATCAGGAAGAAAAATGCATTTCACTCACACAAAACTACAAGGATTTATTCTGACCTCACAATATGTACAAGTATTTTAAAAAGAATACTGTATTGTTGATAAAGGCCAGAGTTTACATTCAATGTGTCACCGAATGTTTGCAGATACCGCAAAAGCAGCAAAAGATACTCCATTCTTGGGAATAAGCTTATTTTGACCCATGTATGAAGTGAGATGTAATGAAGTGTGCCCAAAAGCAAAGTTCCATGATCTAGTTTGTTGAGGAAATTTGCTTGAATACATGGAACAAAAAAGATCAATCCAATTTGGGTAAAAGTCAGTCAAAAATCAATCAAGCCTGCTTGGAGGCATTGTACGGCCACTGCTGTTCACAGGCAAAAAATACTGTTTTTTAAAATTCATTATGTGGGATGTGAGTGTCGCTGGCTGGCCAGAATTTAATGCCCGTCCCTAGTTGCTCTTGAGAAGGTGGTGGTGAGCTGCCTTCTTGAACCACTGCAGTCCACTGACAGTGGGTTGACCCACAATGCCATTAGGGAGAGAATTCCAGGAGTTTGACCAAATGACAGTGAAGAAATGGTGATATATTTCCAAGTCAGGATAGTGAGTGGCTTAGAGGGGAACTTGAAGGTGGTAGAGTTCCCATATATCTGCTGTCCTTTCCTTCTAGATGGAATTAGTTGTGGGTTTGGAAGGTGCTGTCTGAGGACATTGGGTGAATTTCTGCAGTGCATCTTGTAGATAATACATACTGCTGCTACTGAGCGTCGGTAGTAGGCGGAGTGATTGCTTCTGGATGCAGAGCCAAATCAAGCGGGCTGTATTGTCCTAGATGGTGTCAAGCTTCTTGAGTGTTGGGGATGCACTCATCCAGGCAAGTGGGGAGTATTCCATCACACTCCTGGCTTGTGCCTTGTAGATGGTGGACAGGCTTTCAGAAGTCAAGAGGTGAGTTACTTGCTGCAGTATTCCTCGCCTCTGACCTGCTCTTGTAGCCACCACGTTTATGTAGTGAGTCCACATGTTCTACACACAATTATCGAACTTGGATATGCGATTGTGCCAAAAACCTAAATACAAGTACCATTTTTAAGACAGGATAATAAAAGAATAAAGGCTCACATCAAGACCAACTGATTGAATTCTGTGTAATATAACATACTGAAGGACAACTAGACAAATTTCAAATTGAGAGCAATAATTGGTTGTATTAAAATGTCCAAAGTTCTTATTTTATGTTTTAGTTATTTAGAATTGCCGAAATGATTGGATTTTATTTTTAAAACGGTTAGATTGAATTAAACCTTTTCCCCCAAGCTTGCAAAGTGAGAAAGGCACAAAATATAATAAAACATGTGACTTCATTTAAATAGTTACATAATTTTTTTTGCAAATAAATGGCAGTGTGTGCAACATTGATTAATGAATTCCTGCCTCTAGCCAGATGGTCCCAAACTCTCAAAGCCTGTCTCTCACTTCAAAACCAATTAGGACCTGGCATTTCCAGCTCTTTAGTGGCATAATTTGGTGACATGGGGATCCTGTCAATCAATGAAAACAGAAATCTCTCTGGTCAGGTTTATCTAACTCTTCCTTAGTGGGTAACAGGGGAGTACTGGGAAGTAGGAAGAAGAGTCATGGAAAAGATAAATAAAGCGTACAAGCAAGTCAGCTTAAAAAGAATTGTCAAATGGAAGGTAATTGCACTCAACAATTTTAAAATTTAGATCCTCTTACATTTATTAGTTCTGCAGACCATACCCATTAGTATCTACTGAAGTCACAGAAACTAGTCCAATGTTACACATATTATGACACAAACAATGACCAGTATCTCTAAAACATACAGAAAAAAATAAAATTTCATCTCATAGAGGTATGCTAACACAATGGTAATATAACTAAATTCATAATCCAGCGGCCTGGACTGATAATCTGTACCTTGAGTTCAAATGCCACCACAGCAGCTGAGGAATTTAATTTCAATTCATGAAATAAAGCATGAATGGAAATGTAGTAATAGGTATCAGTAATGGTGACTATGAACAACTGGATTGCCATAAAAAATAAGCTTTGGTTCACGACTGAGCTAAGGAAAGGAAATGTACTGTCCTCACCTATTTCTGGACTTTATATTCACTCTTAAGTGCCCTTCAAAATGGTCTAAAACAAAACAAGCCATTCAAGGAGATAGCTCACTAGCCATCTTCTCAAGGGTAATTAAGGAGGGGCAATAAATGCTGGTCTTGTTATGAAATCTCCTATGAAATTATCAAATCATACTATTTGATAGAGGCAACTAACTAAAATAAAGAAAAATGGTGTTTTGTGTCTGACCCGCAATTATTTTTCGTTTAGGATTAAGTTACATCCAAAGTGAAATTGACTACATTTTAGCATAAATAGATCATATGGGAAACACATAGGGATGGGTAAATTCACCTTTCACAGACGGCAAGAAAAAACACATTTCTGTTGACATTTTAAAAAACTAAACTAAGATAACATGCAAAGTGACCCAGAATAATTTTGAAGAATGAACAACCTAACTTTGACCACGTTCATTTTTTATCACTAAATCTCAGTATTTTCCAAGGACAGATACTCCAAGAGATCCTGAAATAATAGCTCATCACAATAGGAGGCAAGGGACTCCATTTGTTGTGTTAAGTCTCATAGTCATTCTGTCAGTATACTTTTAAAGAGACAGTATGTCAATATTCCTTTAAGAGACAGTATGTGAGCATACCTTGAGGACACATGCTCATGATGTTATTATTGTCATGACATGTAATTAAATGTATAAAGATCACAGACTCCATCGAAAACTTTCAAATCTTTGAGCTGCTTCTGGATGTGCAGTGTAACCAAACTAGATCTGAATCCAATTGTAAGGGAAGTTCTGTAATTTAAGAAGCAGAGTGCCGCATCATCTGATGATTATCCAGAACTAAAACACAGATAACAATGTAACAAATTCAGTGATGGGCAGGATAAGATTCTCTGGTCCATCCAACCTGACCCACATAATTGTGATACATTAGCCCCCTCTCTATGCCATCTGGAACACTGTGTAATCTTCTGGGAGAATACAAAACCTTGAGGCAATTTTTAGGGAAAACTATTCTGGAAAATG